AATATTGATAACGTACACGTGGTTATATGATATATATATATATATATATATATATATATATATTTACATTAATGCCATACTAGGTGGAGCAGGTGATTGTGGTAAATCTAGAGTGAGCGAAGCTATATCTGCGTTCATGTCTCATTATAATTGAACGCATACGTTACGAAGTCTTGCACCATCATTAGCAGCTGCTGTAGGCATCGATGGTTTAATTATACAATCGATGCTACATGAAGGACGTAATAAAACTTCTAATAATTGCACTTTATCACAAACAGATGTATCAGTTATAGAAATTGAATGGCGGAATATTGACTATTGTTTAATAAACGAAATTTCAATGGTTGGTTGTTAGATGTTAGCTCGACTTCATAGACTAACCACAATAGCAAAACATATTGACCCAACAACTCCATTTGGTGGTATTAATATGATATTTCTAGGTGATTTTGTACAGTATCCACCAGTGCTTGATCGACCACTCTATTCAAATATATTATCACCCACTGATACATTAGCTAATACTCTGAATACTATTAACCAAACTCACAGACAACGTAATATAACTTAACGTTTATATACAATGCAAAGTTGGACGTGCACTTTGGCTGCAAGTTAATAAAGTGTTCTTTTTGACAGAACAAATACGTAATAAACATCCATTATTTATGGTCATGCAGACAAGATTAAGAACTGGACAATGTACTGATGTGAGTTTTATGAGATACATGTACATATGCATTTTCATATGTATTCTAAGGATGATCATGATAGGTTTTGTAAACGTGTTGTTTCATCTGATAATGATGTTAAATCATTAACAGAATCACCATGGAATTTAGCACCAATGCTAGTATTTAGAAATGAGGTCAGAACAAATATTAACAACTATTGTGTATTTGATGAAACTATTAAGTATAATCAATTATCAACAGTTGTCGTTGCGAATGATCGTGTCCGAAATCATGATATTGACAATATTGATTTTCGACGTTTTTTACTTTCATTACCTGATAATAAAACAGAAGGCTTACTAGGATATCTACCGATTGTAATGAATATGCCAGTTCTTATAACACATAATATCGCCACAGAACTACATATTTCAAATGGTTCAATTGGTGGACTGGTGCATTTAGTATATGATAACGATGATGAAAACTCAAATAATAATACTACTAATAATAATATTAGAGATGCTAAATTTCCAATTAATATGAAATATATTCAAAAACCATTATATGCTTTTGGTAGAATTACCACAAGGCAAACTTTCTTCACTTTTAGTAGATCTAGAATCGACCATGATACCTATTCTGCCTGAACAAAAAACAATTAAAATGGATCTAAAATCGTTTGTTACTCCAACGCAAAAAAGACTATTAAATAGTAAAACTAGAATAACTATTCGTCGAGCTCAACTTCCTATTGTACGTGCTTATGCTATGACTACACATAAATGTCAAGGTAAAATCTTGGCACATGGTGTTAGCGATTTAGTTCCTCCACCATATGCAAAATCTGATCTTGCCAATGTTTATGTACCAATATCATGTTTTACATCTGCTGATACAATGACAATTTTGCGTCATTTTCCTCGATCCATATTAAATCAGAAACCACAGCCTGATCTGGTTATTGAGCTAGAACGTTTAAAAAATTTGTCTAACAGTAACTAATAAAATAAATTAAATGCCAAATATATTTAGATATTAGTTTTATC